TTTTTTTGGACAATTAGAAAAAATTCTAGACACAATGGTAAAACAAAATTATCATTTTTATTGACAATTTCCATGCAAAACAAAATCAAACGGACATCAAACTTTCAACATTTTTTAGTTGGCAAATTATATCAATTAAACACAATTAATTACAATTTCCAGTAAAATAAATTCTAAATAATTCAATTCCATGTAATTCATTTTCTTTCCATCCAAATTCCACATTTGCAATTAAACGGACCCTAAAGTTACTTTTTTAATTAACATTTTATATCAAAAAAATTACTTGCACGGCCAATGAGGTGACAATGAACATAGATTTTTCGACAAACATGTTTAGTGCGTGTTTGATAAAATTGTACTTACTAAATTTTTTAGTCAAACAACTTTCGAGTTTATTTACTAGTTGCAATATCCTAATATTTCGCATAATGTCGGTATGGGTCCCCAGTCAGTAAATGTAAGATTTTGGAGCTCAATCTATAAGAATATGTGAATTTATGAATTTGTCAATATAAATGTTAAAATTCCATGCGGCTAACAAAAATTTAAGTGATTTGATAATTTTATCTGCTAACTATGAGTCGTACGAAAGCCGTATTGAAATTTTAATATGGTTTAAGTAACATGAAACCTAAATTCGACAATTTAGGTTTCATGTTACTTAAAAAGGTTACCTTACTTTCAAAGTTTGAAAACTCATTAAAGGATCTCAATTATAATGTATTCATTATATAGAGCTCGTTTGAAATAAATTAAAATTGAAAATATAAATGTTATTGGGTCTCACTCATCTAATAAAAGTCAACAATAACGACTAATTTTTCAATTTTAATTCGATTTTAATCTCTACCAAATACACTCATAATCAATAATGATATCTAGCGTCATTGATATTAGAGCACCAATTTAGATGACAACACTGTGTAATTAAATCGATGTTTCGACTTTGAATTTTAATGAACATTTCATTTAGGGTGCGTTTGATTGCAAGGGTGGAAAATGGGTGGAAAGAAAATATTTTATAGGGAAAAGATTTGTCTAGAAAATATTTTCCACTTTCCACTTTTTTGGCTGTTTGATATGCGAAATTTTT